ACAAAATGATCAAAAATGGTACCTGGTTGCACAGTTGCTTCCAAAAAGTCAACATGAGCGCTTACACAAAGATAAACCGCCTGTATGCCTTTACTCCCAGCCTAAATACAGAGGGGCAGAAAGAATTATCTCCTGCAGTTCGGGCCTTCTCCTCTCCAAACGCCCACGCAGCATCCACAGGAGAGCAGGGCAGGTCTTGATGGAGAAGGTGCCCTGCTCCCACAGTTTCAAGGTGAATCTGTGGGATTTTTGTCCAAGATCTCAAGGCAAGCTGAGGCTGCCCCAGGTGCAAGTCACCCTGTGAGTATGCTGCACAGACCGGGCTCTTGGCCACACGGGTCTAAAAAACCAGACCCTTCTTCTCTCCTGACTACCGACGACTGAGGCCACCTCATCCAACTTCCCTGCTAAATCTGACTGCTGTGTTTAGGTGGAGGGAATGTCCTTGGGGCAGCTATTTCCATATATACGTAAATCTGACAGTGGTCCCCTCAACCTGCTAAACCCCCTCTCCAATCTGCATCCTGACCTGAAAGCTCAAGCGATCAGCTTGGTGGATCTAATGGGGCACTGAAGGGCTGCGTCCTCCTTCCCACGGACTCCCTCCACGCTCTCCTTCACCACTCAGCCTTTTTTGAGTACCCAACTTGCTAAGTACCACCCTCCAGCCTAAAGGCAAACCAAACTACCCATCAGCGGGTCAGAAGCAGAGCCAGCAGAGTCAAGGCAACGTTGCCACCGACTTTTGGCCAGCGCTGGATCAGACCCCGCTGCCGGCACACAGACGCTGCAAGCACACAAGCCCTACACGTCGGGAGCGCAAACACTGCTGCAGCATGCACACCGCGACACCGTATCGGATAGAAACTGCAATCTAATACATACGCCTTCCAGTAAATTTGCAGGTGCAGTCCGGGCGCCGGTCAAATCGTGTATGAGAAACTCCGTCCAGTCCATGTATTTCTCTTTGATTGCTGGGGAGGGGGAAGAAGGAAAAGAAATGCTTAGCACAGCAGACTGCAATGGACTTGCCACGTGTATTTTAGAAACATTTCCTCGGGGTTTACCAGCTCTGAAGTTTTGGATACAACTGCAATCCAGACCAGGAGAAAACCCGGCTTGTTGTCCAGTTCCTCGGGCAACCCGCACACACGGTTACATCCCAAAATAAGGGAGGGTGTTGCTCCACTGTAGCCATTGACAGTGATTTACAACAGCGTGGCTTATCACCTCCATCTCTCCCATACAAAACTGGCCACCGCTTGTGTAACCACTCGTTTCCTGCTTACCACGCAGGCTCAGATATGATTTATACAGTTTCTTTGTATGTTCACTAATGACCTCAAAGAAAAAAAAGCTGTGCAAACTTTCAGTTCCTTGACAGGACGACAAAAACTCCAGGTGCTTTCCCTCACAAAGCAGAAAATCAACCCTGAGAACATCGTATGTCCGCTGCCGAGTCAATACACTTGCAAGAACAAATTTATCAGGAATGTCTACTTAATTTCAAAAAAAATGCTTTAATAATTTCTGAGCTAAACACCATAAGCCTGTGTTGCTTTAGGGATCTGTATCCACATAGTTTCATAAGATTTGAACTGAAATGTATAAACCTTGCCTCTGGGATTCAAATTTTGGTTCAATTCTTGTTGAAATCAGTAAAAGCTGGGCACCAAAAGGCCATTCAGCAAATCTCAGCTTCAGAGATTCAGATGCCTCTTCAAGCCCATTGTGCATTTGCAGTCAGAAACCCAGAAACCAGACTTTAATTCCACCTGCCTGTAAATGGGAATTAAATTACATCAGAAACATTTTTCTCTCCCCCCCATCTTACTTATATGTTAGACAACGAACAGTAATATAGTTATGTCGCTAACACAGCAACGCCTATAGAAGGGAAAAATCACAAGCGTTTGAAAATTAAAACGTTTCCTCTGAACAAACAACTGGATACATGGTTTAAAGACCATTACCCCACAGGGGAGGCCAGGAAGGGCTGTAATTAACCAGCGTAGGTCCAAAACAATTAACTAATAGCAGCCCTCGTGTTTTGCTCAAAGGAAGCGGAGTCCTTTGCTCTACACTTTAGCGAAACACATTACTCAACCAAGAGCAATCCAGTCTGAAGCACTTTGCGCTTTCACACCAATCGGGGTGGGATTTCTAAATGATTTAAAAGCTCGGTGACTGTGACTTCTTGGCCCTTCCCAGAGATGGGCGTCAGCTACCGCAATGCCTTGACAATGCAGAACGTCAGCTGTGGGACCTCTGAGAAGGTGGTTAGAGCAGGAGGACTTCAGACTGCAAATGCAAACAGCACCGTGAGCGCAAATATTGCCACCATTACTTCCAGACGAGGAGACCAAACCTGAGCCTTCTCAAAATGCATCCTCGAGCCATCTGCTGCCAAACACTGAATTAAAGAAATGCAAAGAGGGAGCACTGGGTTTGCCCAAGGACAGTTATATGACATCGCCACAAAACATGCTCGTGGTTGGGCTTGCTTCCCGCGTGGGTGCCTGGCACACTTGGACTCTGGCCCATACTCAGTTTATATCCTAAATACTTTATGCAATCCATACAGTTGGCCACAGACAAAGACAGAAGCCATGCCCAGCAGACCATACATCAGACTTCATTTCTGAGTCGTGCTCCTTCCCCAAAAGCCAGTTCTCCCAATGTCACTTGAACATACATTCAGTGTACAGATCTAAATGACTTTGAAAGTTCATTCACATGTATTTAAAATTAGCGAACTTTAAAGTGCTGGACTTGAGCCTATATAAAATAAAACCTAAGCTAGCCTGGAACTGCTCTAAGTCTTTTGCAGCACTGATTTTACATGATTTCTAGGAGATTTATGACCTTTATATCATTTAAGATGAAGGAATAGCCTGAGAAGAAATGGTTTATACATTGCACTTCCTCTCTCAACATTCCTGTTGCGTACACCTCGTCGGTTCCTGTCCACCTACATTAGGATACAGAAAACAAGCTTAATTTTGGCATCAGCGAGAAGATAGTAATTGCCGTAATGAATGAGACTGGAGTCCTTCTAGTTCAGACTTCTCGCTGCGAACAGCACTGGGTGCATCAGAGGAAGGTGCAAGTTGAACTTCATTTTGGCTCATACCCACAAAGTTGTCAGCCAAATTTTGAATGCCAGAGCTTCATTACTCAGGAATGACAAATGTGATAAAAGGAACATGGTTCGAACTTTGAAAGCTGGCAGGAGGGTGGGAGGTGGGGGGAAAACAGGATTTTCAAAGTTGACAGCAGATTTCAGGGGCCTCCATTTCCAGATGCCCGATTTGAGATGTCTTAAAGGTGCCCGATTCACAGATCTTGCTGTCTGTCAGTCTGTCCCCCTTCTAACGTCTCTCCAAAAAAATCTCTTGTCCTTTTTAAAAGACTTGCACCTCACAACTTTTTGACACCTAAATAAGATGGAGTCCCTCTCCACATTCAAATCTGGATTACGGGCTTCCGAAGTCCAAAAGTGCCAAGGTGACCTTTGTTTTCAGACTTAAACAGACTCAGCTGAAAAAACAAGCTACTCCCAGTTTCTGAGTGGTTTCAGAGCCGTCCTCCCCAAACAAATCTGTATCTGGTGGTTTGCTTTACCTTATTCTTCTTTTGCGGTGTAGATAAAGGGACTCTGAAAACCTCTGAGAGAGAACACATTGCACTGGAAGTTTTAGGAACAGGGATCTGCGCTTTCTTCGGTGCCTATTGAGCGCAACCGGCCTTCTCAGTACTTCAGTTCAAGTCATTACAATGCAAATATTAATTTTTAGTAGTAATGAAGTGAATCTGAATCATCACGATATCTGCAAAAGCCTTCAAGGACCAAGCAAAATGTTAAACAAGAATATTCAAACAAAGGAAAATCCTCTGGGTAAATGAGAATAGCTGGCAGTGTAATGCATGGGTGCCCAACCTGAGCATCCATCTCAAGAAATGCTGGTGCTTCTCTGGTGTATCAGACCCAGCACCTGTGAATTGAAGCACTGATTTTCAATCGCTAATTCACATTTTTGCTTGTTAGCTACAGGAAAAGATCCAACTGAACCTCTCCTACTGCAGACAGGCTGGAAGAACTCTGCTTTTAGAGCCCATCTGCAGCTGGCTGGCCAACTGGTGGGATGGGAAGGTGGACAGGACAAAGGATCCTTTTCCACGGTGACCTAGGCTCCACTAGTATTGCTACTTTCAAAACAATCTTCCTTCCTTAAATAACTTCAGTGAGTCAGAGGTGGTCCATGGGGCTCAAATATCCATGTTTTCTCTACCTTTCAGTGGATCCATCTTCCCAAAAGACCTCTGTGAACTTCCCCCACCCAGAACCTGTCAAGCTGAATGCACCTCTGGGATCTCAGCTAAAGCCTGTGGTGCCATGGGAGGCAGGGGAAACACACAAGAAATAAAGCAAAATAAACTTCCTCATCAAATCCTTTCAGAGAGAACCATTTCATGCAGGGAGGCAGGTCCTCCTACAAAAGCCAAAAGCCAGAGAGGACAAAATGTGTCCTTCAAACCTTCAAATGGCAATACTGTGACGAGCCCCCTCCATCACACCACAAAGCGTGATGGGCACAAGCAGTAATTTACAAGCGCACAATTAATGTCACCTTAATTCATGCCACTCTAGCTCTTACTGAGCTGCACAGACTCAAAGAGGTGAGTGTTGGTCTCTTCTCCCAAGTAACTAGTGATAGGACAAGAGGAAATGGCCTCAAGTTGCGCCAAGGGAGGTTTAGATTGGACATTAGGAAAAATTTCTTTACTGAAAGAGTGGTCAGGCCTTGGAACAGGCTGCCCAGGGAAGTGGTGGAGTCACCATCCCTGGAAGTATTTAAAAGACGTGTAGATGAGGCGCTTAGGAGGGACATGGTTTAGTGGGCATGGTGGTGTTGGGTTGACGGTTGGACTCGATGATCTTAGAGGTCTTTTCCAACCTTAATGATTCTATGATTCTATGAAAAGCTGATAAGAAATCTTCATAGTAAGAAAGTCCCTGGTACTTCTGCCTGGATGGCACGGGAGGAAACATCCCTCGTTCTTCGCAATTCAGGGAGCTGAGAAAACTGGGAGGAAGACCTTTACCAACGCATAAAATCCTCTCCAAGCAGGGGTAAGTACTGAAAGCTACCTGTCCCTTTGCACACCCACCCTTCCATCACCAGGTACAGCTCATCTGTGAAGATGGCACCTTGGAAAGGGACTGTCACCCACACCACAATGGGGCTCCAAATAGGCCCAATGACAAGAAAGCATTTGAGATATTCTAGTTACATTGAGCCTACGTTGGAAATTATATCCTAAGCAGTTACGGCTTTCTTGGCCAAGACAACAGTAACATAATCACACTGACTGATCCTCTACAGCGTGAGGCTTTGACACTCTACGAGGATACAGCTTGGCCAAGAATCCCTATATTGCTATGAGTAACAGACCCACCACAGTGTCACTGTGCAGAGAAGTGACCAATATGAGATTGTGCAACGGTCTGAGACCCTGGGGGCCAACGGCCATCAAATTTATCATACTGAGAGGCTATGATTCAAGAGAAGCAGAGACATGGTAGCAGAAAAAAAGACTCAGTTTAGTGATCCCACCGATGCAAAGACCATAGTGTGAGCTGAACTGAACGATTAAACACTAGACAATGCAGAGAGGAGACGGGCATTAGCAACGCTCTCATCATGGAAAAAGCATCGGTCAGAGCTTGCACCATATTAGACACAGTACAGCCCAAACACAAGGCATGCATCGCACAACGAGATGCTCCCGAAATGCCAATGCTCTTGTAACTACTTTTCTTTCCAGGTTTAGTGACACCACAGCCCCGTTCGGAGCTGCAGCTTGTGTACGCAGATGTGCCTGTTTCCTTTGGATCGGGTTCAGTTCATCTTGGAGCCGGCGAGGGTGACTGTTTTCACACCTCTGTAGCTCCAAGGGCAGGGGCTTTAAA